TTGTTATGCTGATTCACTAAACTTTCTAGTTGAGAACTGTTAGGATATAATGAGGTCATTTCCAACGAAGCTTCTCAGTATTAAAGCAGAATATCGAGCGCGTTCTTATGCAATATCTTGTCTCGTTCTCTCGGACTACATAGTATCCTAACAGTTCTCAACTAGAAAGTTTAGTGAATCAGCATAACAACAAAATTTTGTTACAATCACACAAGTAAATAAGATATATTTGTATTTTTATTCAAGAAATTATTGCTGTCGAAAGCAAGAATATTAGTGGTTATATGTATCTTACTCCTGAATACAAGTATATATAAGTGAATAAGATTTAAGATCTTCATATTGAAGATATATGTTAAATACAATATTAAGTGTAAAGTGACTTCTGGGACATCCTATAATGGTTAAAATGGTTTGACTTCTATACATTATTTTTTGTAAACGTTGAGCCATTTTATCTTCATTAAATTAATCATTTTAATGCGTTATCAAGAAAACATTTCACAGGGTTGTTTGTGACAGTTTTTTGCCATTTTAATGGTGTAAATTTTCGATCATTTTAATACCATTTTGCCGTTACAAATTTTGGCTGAGCAGCACGATTTAAAATAACAATCCACTCGCCAGTAAATCCATATGATGAAGGATTTGTTTCCTGTTGACTAGTACATATTGGATCACAAATAGGAACATATTCTGATATTTTCTTCTGCTGCAATTCTTCTTGAATTGATGTTAATTGAAATTTTGATTTGAGATTAAAATTATTCAATATCCATTCAGAATAAGCTAAATAAGCTCGACGATAATTAACAGTTGGCAATGGATATGATTTTATTACTCTATCTGGATAGTTATAACCCCAAGCTGCCGTTCGACCATTAAAGCTTGGAACTAACGCATATTGAAACATAACAGCTTTTTTATTAAATGATCTATATGTTAATAATGGATATATAGAAAACATTGATTGAATCATTTGTTCCCATTTTCGTTTTGGTAGATACGTTCCATCAGATTGTTGTTGATAATACATCCAATGTGATGAGAAATTCTCCAGGACTTTTGATGTATAATAGATCTGAATTTTTATTGAATCAATATAAGTTGGATGTGATTGATATTCGGATAGTACCCAAAATCGAGGACCACATGATTCAAGAAAACCATGAGCATAGTTCTCATCAGGTGCATGAGTAATTAAAATTGGTCGTGTCAAAATAGCTGAAAGATTCAAGCTTTTTATGATTGTAATATTATCAGTTAAATATAATTTAAATACACCGAATGAAGCCATAAATGTATCTCTTTGTATATTTGTCTCATTTTTAGATGAGTTTCGGAAAAAATAATATTGATCAGTAGATGATTGATAATAAATATTTGTTAAAATACAATATTCACCACCGTCTTCAAAGTTCGTATGTGATGTGTTGGAACATTTCCATGATGAATAAGGATATACAACTTCATGATTATGTGTTGTAAACTTAATATAATTATAGTTCAATGGCAAAGTTACTATGTTTCCATCTTTTTTGATAATAAAGGTCTTTTTAATGGAATGATTATTATTATTACCAGCTACAATGTAGGACTTAAGTTCATTATGGAGAGATAACGATATCCATCCATCAGTATGATTACAGCTGTAGAACATTTTTGTTACTACATTTCTACTTCGAATAAATGGGATCGGATAAAATACGATCGGATAATGATAACTTATAAATAAATAATTATAATAAAAAGGAAGATTAGAATGCTTGCAGAGATTTTATTAATCATCGAAGTGACTAACGTTAAAACAGTAGTTTGAAAGTAGAAATGCAATATAACCTTGCTTGATATATGCTTCGTAATGTTGTAAAGCTAATCGATAAAATGATTCTTTTTTTTTTTATTGAAGTATAGGAGTAAAACCTATAACTTGATTAAGATTTTCCTAGAAGAAATTGAAAATAATGAGATAAAGGATAAAATAAGTAATAATGTGGAAATATGAGGACTTTTCAGCCTTGATGGTTTGGTATCGTTTTTATTCGGCATATACAAACATCTACGCTCCATATCTGCATCCATAACAACAAACATCAACACCCTCATTTGTTTATCGTTCGTGTTAATTATAAAAAGAAAACATGTATATGAAAATTTGAAAACAAATACTATTCAATTCTTACGTAAAAACTTCTACAATATAATAATATATGGGAATACACGCACTGCGGAAAGAAGTGGTTTATTTACAAAGTGTACTATACTATGGCACTATGTCATAAATTTATGTATGGCTTTAGAACTCGTTGAATTCCCTATCAAATAAGATATAGAATCATGTATTTGATCCGTAATTGTAATAAAAACAAGATGTCAGTAGCAAGATCTCAATTTAAAAAACCTCCTTTTCTTTTAAAAATCTGGCTGAAATGAATATTTTACTTCCTTGACTATGTATAGACAAAAAATACACCCATATTGCGAATATTGGAGTAGCTTTAGGGTAATAATAAATGGCTGAAAATGAAACCGAAAACCGAAAGGACCGAAAAACATGCGATTGGTTATCATTCGTTTGAATCATCTATAAATATGGTTCAGATGGATGATAGCCAATCAAATGTTTTTCGGTCCTTTCGGTTTTCGGTTTCATTTTCGGCCATTTATTATTACCCGTAGCTTTAGCAGTAAACTGTGCAATATATGAAAATCAATGGTTAGGTGCATTTGATCGAAGGTTTTTTGGGACAGTATAAAAATATCTGATAACCTAGTTCAGCATATAAATTATATTGGTACTTAATACTAAAACGAAGATGAAAAATAACAGAAAAATAGATGTCGCTAAAAAAAAATTATATTTTTAGAAATTGTTATCCATAAAACTCTAGGATAATGTGCTATACAATGAAAAAAAATTAGTGGTCAAGATGATGTTTATATTCAATGCCTGTTAAGTTTTGTATGAACAGAATCTAATTGAACAAGAACTGTTTCACTGCTTGTGGCCGACAAAAAACTAAGGAGAAGATTGAAAATGAGTTTACATTACGAAGTATTCTCAGTTTATTTCCATGATTCAGTCAGATCCATCAAGTTGAATTGTCTGATATACGTCCAATTATGAGAAAAGCTTTGAAAATGCAAATATTTGTTGAAAAAAACTACAAATTTTCACCAGATAGGTGTTGAACAGGCAAAAAATGCACCTAATAGATGAATCAATATTACTGTGAGAAAACTCACTTGATCATTGAAAAAATTGCCCGATATCAACAAACTTCATGAATTTAATAGATTATATCAAAATCAGCTCAAAAGCTTTTATTTGAAAATCCTCCTTAATTCTATATGTATGTATCCTCAAAAGATATATAATATGTGAAAGTTGTAACTCTGTCAAAATGATTTGGTTTACTGAAAAATGGGAGAGTTGATGCACTTTCATATTCTCTACAAACTGACCGAAAAACTGTACATCACAGAGACGTGGAGAAGAATGAGAAAATTCTCACTTACGTGAAAAATTTTCATATGTAATGTTGAAATATCTTTCTAAGTAATGGCAGACTCTTACTCTATGAACTTGGCTATTTTAGTCGAAATGCAAATATGGATATTTATTGATTTCGTTTGCAAAATCACATGTTTTACGCTGTAAGAGAGAATTAAAAATGAGAATGTCGACCAAGCGGTAAGAAATAACTCTTTTTTTTCAATTATAGAATGGTTGAAATTGTGTCGAAATCCATTAAATTGAAGCTTGTCCAGAAGCCAAAGAATACACTCGTTGACAATTTATTTTGTATTGTTTGAATGAAGAAAAAACATAATTACAAACAAAAGCAATCTGTTTCAATGTAATGCTGGTCAAAACTATAAATTTAAACAAAAAAAAAAAAACAACATTTCTCATCAGAAAGTTGATTCTGAAACGCTGATTCGAGTAAATTATTTTTATAAATTATCATCAATCTCAACAAAAACAAATGGTTAACAACCAATTAAAATGATACAATTTTAACGGATTTTTCAGTACCTAATCGATGTTTTTAATTAAAAATTGGATTAAAACCATGCCATTCCAATTGATTATTTATCAGAAGAAAATCGATTAAAGTCGAATATTTTCTGTCGTTTTTTTTTACAGTGGTATTTCTAAATAGGTTTTAATCGATACTTACTTTCCGGTTCATTTTAATCTACTTTTAGTTGTTAATCGGTTTTAATCATATGCATGAAAGACAGGGGCTCTACTCTAGATTCGAAGGTAGAATCGTAATTTTTCGTGATTTCTTTTTTATGTCGTGCGGTAGTAAATCATGAAACTGTGATCAAACTAAAGCTTGACAAATGTACTATAGTTGGAACAGGCATATGGATTGTTTCAGTTGAGATCACGCAGTTACTTCATTAATCGATTATTCCGATTCCTTGAAAAAAAACTTAGCAGCGCAGTTCCTTTGAGACTGAAATATGGAACTGACATAGCTTCGTTGGTTTTATTAGACTACTCTAAAATACACAAATTCTGAAATTTCAGAAATGCGATAGAGCTTTTCCAATAATAATCCACTGTTACCAAACACTTTTTTATTCATTTTGTACAAAATTTTTTTTTTTGAGTGGCAGTCTTTTGTTATTTATATTATTATTTGTTTGATGTTTATTCCCTTTTTGTTTTCATTTTCATAATTTTATTATCTTTCTTCTAACCATTGATTTAATAAAAAAATAAGCCTGCATTCATTATATCTATATCAGGACTTAATAATTAAGTATTGATCTTCATGATCTTTGAAATACTTATATTGTTTATTCTCGAAAATTAGATATTAATCAATTCATGCTTTTGTGTTGGTCCTATGACAATTAGAAAAACTCGAAATATCATCTTCGACATCTGTTATGTAATCATTATTGTGCAGAAAAGCCAGAACTTCTATTATTTAGAAAATCAAAAAATATATTTCAGCTATTTCAACTTCAAAGAAGATTCTCAAATGTCCCAGATTCTACTAAACCTTGTTATAAATGTTGTTCAGCGCCTATAAGCCTGGTTGCTAAGGTTTATAATGAAGAAGGTCTAGAGGAAGCCGCAGAACCTCGATTTAAACTTTCACTCACTATTTTCTTGGAAATTTGCGTGGGTTTCACAAAATCAATTTTAATCAGATTTCCAGTCTTTATTTTTTCACCAGGATAGTGAAACTTGTTTTTTTTTGGAATTCGTTCTATTTATTTAAGTCATTGCCCATGTGTGGGTGTGGGTGTGGGTGGGTGTGGGTGTGGGTGTGGGTGTGG